TTAATGTTTTAATATATTTTATACTTAATATATTATTTATTAATGATTAATACATTTTTTAACTTACAGGTCTCAATAAATAAATATTCATTTTTTTATTAATTTAGATAGGCAAAATGGTTGGTTCTCGTCAAATTCCTAGATTAGTGAAAAGGGAAAAGGATCAACTAGCTGAAAGGCTAAGGAGCAGTCGAAGAAAGACCGATTGACTCACAGGTGTTAGATAATTTTAATCAGGAAGATATCGTAGTAGAGCAGGCAAATACAGAAGTAGATCAGGAATATATAGAAGGCATGGAGGTAGAAGCAGATAATGAAGATTTAACTTCAAAATTAAAAAAGCGGTTTGTCAAGCACAAGCCCAAGCGTAGTTGTGTTTTGGAATTGATTAAAATTTTGAATTCGGAAGGCTTACGTGTAAAGCCTTTTTATAAATTTAATTGTAGTAAAAAGCCAGATGTTATGCAAATAGGAGGTGGTTCATATTTGCATATCGGCCTATTAAAGCAATTAAAACGAGAAGGAACGTGTGAGTCGTTTCTGGCGACACTACTCTACTTATACCCGTACTCAGTCAGTATATACAGCTTATGATTTTGTAGAATTTTGGAAAAAAAAAAAAATTTTACGTTTTACATATTTTTGCTACATCTGCTATCTACATCTACATATACAATGTATATTCTACATCTAACATGTAGATTGTACAATGTACATGCTCCATTTAGATTCTACATCTCCTCCGCTAGGGGTTGCTCGCGCACTGAACGCGGCAGAGTGTGCGAGCGAGAAGGAAAATGAGTTTCGTTGTCGGCGTCGGGTGGCCGGACAGGGGAAGCAACTGAAAATTAATTTCGTCATTCTGGCTATAATTATGATCCGATCTGATTCAGATTCGGCAGTCTGGTAGATATGGGCATTCTCTACGATACTGCGTTTTTAGTTTTATCGTATCTTTAAAATTGTGCCTGTCACAGATTTTCGTCCTTTGTGGGGCGGGGCGAAATTTTGAAATTCACTTGTAGCAGTGTGATATCACATGAGTTTGGAAACCAAATTTGGTTGCCCTAGCTTAGTCTCTGAGATCCAGGCGTCAAACAAGACGGACAGACGGACAGACGGACATGGCTCTATCGACTCGGCTATTGATGCTGATCAAGAATATATATACTTTATGGGGTCGGAAACGTTTCCTTCTCTGCGTTACACACATCCACTTTTACCACAAATCTAATATACCCCTTAACTCTTTTTTGAGTACGGGTATTAAAAAAAAAATTTTACATAGAACATTTTTTTGCTACATCTGCTATCTACATCTACAATGTATATTCTACATCTAACATGTAGATTTGATCAATAAGATTCTAATATCCTCGTGCTAGGGGTTGCTCGCGCACTGAACACGGCAGAATGTGCGAGCGAGAAGGAAAATGAGATGCGTTGTCGTGGGCGGGAGGGGAGGGGAAGCAACTGAAATTAATTTCTTCATTCTGGCTATAATTATGATCCGATCTGATTCAGATTCGGCAATCTGGTAGATATGGACATTCTCTACGATACTGCGTTTTTAGTTTTATCGTATCTTTAAAACTGTGCCTGCCACAGATTTTCGTCCTTTGTGTGGGCGGAAGGGGGCGGGGCGAAATTTTGAAATACACTTGTAGCAGTGTGTACCCGACGTACTGAGCATTGACATTAATGTTGACGGTCTTCCCTTATTTAAAAGCTCTCGTTCGCAATTGTGGCCCATTTTAGTTAGATTAAATAATATAAATAAATGTCCGGTCTTACCAATAGGTATTTTTGCTGGTCACAATAAGCCTTTCAATTCAACCGAATATTTGTCCAAATTCTCTAGTGAGTTATCCGATCTTATGAAAAATGGATTTACCATTTTAAATAAAAAAATTAACCTTGAACTTCGAGCGGTGGTTTGCGATGCTCCTGCAAGGGCATTTGTTACAGGTACACCTGGACATACATCCAGTCACGGCTGTACCAAGTGCTTACAGGTAGCACATAAAGTGGATTCGACCTTAACTTACAGCACTCGTTGTGCAGAGTTAATAACAGATGAAGCTTTTTTAGACCGAAAGTACCCAAGTCAACATAACAATGATTACTTTAGGGTTCAGTCCGCTTTTGAAAAACTTGGCGTTCGTACACAGATAGAAAAAAGCCCTGAAATTTTAATATTTCACTTAGATTTTAATATTTATGCCATTGATTTTCATCCAAGAGTGGTTGTATTAAAATTAAATATTTTTCACTTAAATTTTGATATTAATATAGAAATATTTAAATTTAATATATTTCATATTTAAATTTAATATTTTTCATATTTAAATTTAATATGTTTCATATGTAAATTTAATATGTTTTATATTCAAATTTAATATGTTTCATATTTAATGTTAATATGCTTCATATTTAAATTTAATATGTTTAATATTTAAATCTAATATGTTTCATATTTATATTTATATTCATTTTTAACTAATTGGTTATTATTTTGCGTACGCAAATTACATTTCAAGTCCTCATGGTGTGAATTGGTTAAAGTTTTCAACTAGAAATAATCGCAACATGAGTAGAACTGTATTGGTTGTGATTATGCCCCTGCGAGAGATAATTTTACTTTGTATTCAAGGCTGCAGCAGCGCGAACCAGTTGGGAATTCGAGGGACATACAAAAATAATATAAACATAGTTAAAATAAATACAAAAAATATTTGATTTCATTTAATATGAAATATTTAAAATAAAAAGTTTTTCCTTTGGATTTTAAAAGACAAATTTTGAAATCAAGTCATAATAATATTCAATTTAAATATGAAACATATTAAACTACAAATTTAATATATTAAAGTTATTTTGAAGTGTTTTGTATTTAGATTAAATATGACCATATTAAAAAAGCATTTTTAATACATTTATATTTGAATCAAAGTGAATTCTATTAAATTTGACTATGTTTGTATTTAAAAATGGCATTTTAAATTCAAATATGATTGTAGTTATTTTTCCTAAGCCTTTTTTCTATCAGTGTATGATAACCCAAGATCCTTTAGATTGCATGCATCTTATTGAGCTAGGTTTAATGCGTAAGTTTTTAGAAAGAATTTACCATAATAAAGTAATAAATAAAATTTCTAAACAAAATAAACTAAATATTTCTGAAATATTAGCGTCAATGCGAGGTTGTATACCTAGGGAATTTGCACGAAAGCCGAGGACATTGCTCACTTCCTCACTGGAAAAGCACCGAGTTTAGGCAATTTTTATTGTACACTGGAATTGTAGCTTTTAAAGATACAATCCATGAGGAGCAGTATTATGTATTTTTGTTATTACACTGTGCATATAGACTGCTCTGCTCGCAAAAACAACGGGAAAATAATGTTGAGATTGCTCAACAAATGTTAAATCTTTTTGTTAAAAATTTTCCTATTATTTTTGGCGAAAACAGTGTGTCCTACAATGTTCACGGCCTACTCCATGTAAGAGAGACTGTAAAACCCGATTTCAGGATCTTCTTACGCGTTTGAGAATTACTTACAGACCCTTAAGAAAGTTGTCCGAAAGCCTACGCATATCCTAGAACAAATTTATAGGAAAACAGTCGAAGAAAGTTATGTAGCTCCAGAAAGGGAAGAAGTTAAATTAGTAGGCAGGGTTCTAAAAATTAACGACTGTACCCTTAGCGATAGGGAACCAGATAATTTTTGTTTTGTCAGAGACGAGATACCCATCCAAATAGAGTCATTTGAAGAGGAACTAGGAGCGATTTATATAATAGGTAGGGAGTTAAAAGATATAGGAAGTTTTTTTAATGAACCTTTAAGGTCGACTAGCCTAGGTATATATTTAGTTAGTCTAGAAGCGCCTTGTTCCATTCAAAGGTTTTTAGTAGGAGACTTTAAGAGAAAAGCAGTAGCCATGCCTTATAAGGGAAAAATAGTTTTAGCTCCTTGCCTGCATTTTTCATAGGATTAATAGGTTTGATTAATTAATTTATTGTTTTTATATGGAGGTGTTTAGTCCGTAGGCGTAATTTCATTGCGAATCGGGCATATTTATTGCAACGGGGCTTTAAATATCTTTTGAAGATTCACCTGCCATGGTTCGAACAAAAAAAAAAAACGTTAGGACCTTAGCTAATAGTTAAATTTAGCTATACATACATATATGACCTTGTTATACCCGTACTCAAAAAAGAGTTAAGGGGTATATTAGATTTGTGGTAAAAGTGGATGTGTGCAACGCAGAGAAGGAAACGTTTCCGACCCCATAAAGTATATATATTCTTGATCAGCATCAATAGCCGAGTCTATATAGCCATGTCCGTCTGTCCGTCCGTCTGTCCGTCTGTCCGTCTGTCCGTCTTGATGAGCGCCTGGATCTCAGAGACTATAAGAGCTAGAGAAACCAAATTTGGTTTCCAGACTCATGTGATATCACACTGCTACAAGTGTATTTCAAAATTTCGCCCCGCCCCCTTCCGCCCACACAAAGGACGAAAATCTGTGGCAGGCACAGTTTTAAAGATACGATAAAACTAAAAACGCAGTATCGTAGAAAATGCCAATATCTACCAGATTGCCGAATCTGAATCAGATCGGATCATAATTATAGCCAGAATGAATAAATTAATTTTCAGTTGCTTCCCCTCCCCCTCCCGCCCACGACAACGCATCTCATTTTCCTTCTCGCTCGCACATTCTGCCGCGTTCAGTGCGCGAGCAACCCCTAGCGGAGGAGATGTAGAATCTAATTGGAACATGTAAAATCTACATGTTAGATGTATAATATACATTGTATATGTAGATGTAGATATCATATGTAGCAAAAAAATGTAAAATGTAAAATTTTTTTTTTTTCTAAAATTCTTAAAAATCATAAGCTCAAAAATGTATATACTGACTGAGTACGGGTATAAGTAGAGTCGCGTCCCCAGAAGCGACTCACACGTTCCTTCTCGTTTTATAATTTTTTATTTGATCTATTTAGTATGTCTCAGCCACCTTTCAAAATTAGGCGAATGGACTTCGGTGAGAATGGTAAGTCTACATACCCTTTAAGCGATATCTGTATTAATAAAAGAAATGTTGTTACAGAAGAGCCATTACGTGATGAAAGAATCATTTCCGTGCTGAAAGGTATGTTTCCAATCCTACAGTGATAAACTAATGGAACAGTAAACATAGATACTTTGTATATTGAATAAAAAAAGACATATTTAATATTTTAATTAAATATAAAAAACAATATTAAATACAAAACATATTAATATACATTATTTAATACACTTACCGCATTTACTCAATTTTATATTTAATTAAAATATTAAATATGTCTTTTTTTATTCAATATACAAAGTATCTATGTTTACTGTTCCATTATTTTATCAGTGTATATATAAACTGTCCATTTATCAAAATAATTCATTAATATATATTTTTTCATATTTCAGAAGAGATGCAGCTCCTCCGGGACCAGAACCGTCTATTGATGGAGAAAGTTGATGTTATGGCGGACAAACTCGCCGAAGTAGCCGCTCTCGTTAAAGTGCAGGTGAAGGGAGAGCAGGTGGTCCCAGGGGCAATAACGTTCCCAATAATAACAGAGGAGGAGCTCGATATGTTTGAGGAGCTCATGACCCCTCAGCTAAAAGATGTTTACGGAACAAGGAGGGAAGCTACATGCGCTATAAAAATTACAATATTACTTTATCTTAAACGACTTAAAGATATTTACATGATTTTGTATATATTTGAAGATCAAACAAGTTTGGAAGCTGCTGGAGAAGGAGCTATTGTCGAGGTGCCTGAAAAGTGTGTTGGACGAGCAGGTCGTGAGAGGATACAACCTCGACGGGACTTGCGGGAAAAAAAAGTCTGCGATCCAGAGCTGGGCTCTATTCGGTTTTAACAGATAAGACGAAATAAAAGTTAAGAATGTCTAACAATTCATTAATTCGTTTTAATAAATGAAATAAAACGTATTTAAAATATAAAACTTATAATTTTTTTTAATTCCAGGAGCCTTGCGGATGCATAATCCGATCGAGTCGGCAGATAGCACCATAAGGAAGGCGATTTTAAATATAAAAAACAATATAATTAAGAAAAATTCAAGACAATCACTTTAGAATAAAATTTTTTAGTTGTATTTAAATGATGTTGTTTAAAGAGCTTGTACGTAGCTTTAGAATTTAAATTAACCGTGACATTTTTTAATATTCATGAGAAATGTCGCGTGTGATTTCATATAGGACATTTTCGGAAGTGTCTCAAGTGAAATCACTCGTGGCATGTCCTAGTGAAATCACTCATGGCCTGTCCCTAGTGAAATCACTCGTGGCATGTCCCTAGTAAAATCACTCGTGGCATGTCCCTAGTGAAATCACTCATGGCATGTCCCGGTGAAATCACTCGTGGCATGTCCCTAGTGAAATCACTCGTGGCACGTCCCTAGTGAAATCACTCATGGCATGTCCCGGTGAAATCACTCGTGGCATGTCCCTAGTGAAATCACTCGTGGCATGTCCCTAGTGAAATCACTCATGGCCTGTCCCGGTGAAATCACTCGTGGCATGTCCCTAGTGAAATCACTCGTGGCATGTCCCGGTGAAATCACTCGTGGCATGTCCCTAGTGAAATCACTCGTGGCACGTCCCTAGTGAAATCACTCATGGCATGTCCCGGTGAAATCACTCGTGGCATGTCCCTAGTGAAATCACTCGTGGCATGTCCCTAGTGAAATCACTCGTGGCATGTCCCTAGTGAAATCACTCGTGGCATGTCCCTAGTGAAATCACTCATGGCATGTCCCGGTGAAATCACTCGTGGCATGTCCCTAGTGAAATCACTCGTGGCATGTCCCTAGTGAAATCACTCATGGCATGTCCCGGTGAAATCACTCGTGGCATGTCCCGAGTGAAATCACTCGTGGCATCCCTGCAGTTCCAAAAGTCACTTTTCACTCGTGATTCATTCGGTGAATCACTCATGGCATGTCCTCTGCCACTGATGACTCACTGGTGAAACTCCAGATGAAATTTGTATGGACATGTCCGCTTTTGTCACTCGCGAAACTTCATATGAAATTGTCACTGAACTTTCTAGTGATTTCACCGGTGGCTTATACGTATAAGCCATGAGTGAAATCACTCGGGACATCCCTCTAGTACCAGGCAACTAGTTCGGTACCGGTGCCGAACTAGCTACCATACGAAGCGGTTCATAAAATATTTTTTCGTTTAGTTTTGAAAAGCTGATGTTGCGACGGGCGCGCGGTTCTATTTTAGGCTAGCCTTTGCCTCTGCTTTCGGCTTCGTCAATGACTCAACCCGCGTGGAGTCGAGCGACAGAATACACCAAGAAAATATTAAGTCTTACGACGGGAATAGGTCCAGGGCCGGATTAGCAGTTGCCTAGGACCTCCTAGGGATAAAGAAAAATTTTGTTGAAAAAACAAAACTCCAAATAATGAATAAAAAATATAATAGCCACTGAGAAAAATACAAAATAAAGGAGGGCCCCAGATTGATGGTTGCCCAGGGCCCGGTTGAGGGTTGATCCGGCCCTGAATAGGTCGCTACATCACATCAGCCCTCAAAACAAAACGAAAAACCAATTCAAGCGGCAAACAATTGTAGAGCCCACCCTGCAGTACGGGTAAGCGATGTGTAAGCAACCACACATCGATGGCAACGTCATGCAGCTCGATGACATAAGCGATGACCTGCCATACGATGGGCTGTTTACTTTAACACGGGGATGTCCTAGGAGCATAATCGATGACATAGTAAGCGAGAATTAGCCGAAAGTAAGGCCTCAATTAGCGATGAATTTCCCTTGAAAAGTAAGGCCTTAATAAGCGATGAATTTCCCTTGAAAAGTAAGGCCTTAATAAGCGATGAATTTCCCTTAAAAAGTAAGGCCCTAATAAGTGATGTATTTAAGTAAAAAATTTTGATTTTTTTATGAAAAAGGCATGGGTAAATTCTGTTTTAAAATATTAAATTTCTTTTATTTATTGTGTTGAGCTACTGAGCTTCTTCAGTAGCGTTGTATTGCGATATTATTAAAAAGGCGATGATTGTTCAGTTAATGTATTCACAGTTTATTGTACTTAAGTTAATATATATATTTTTTATCCAAAACTAGCGAAAGGTGTGCGGATTTGATAACGAGAGTTAACGATGGGTCGATTGAAGACGCGGGGGCCGGTTCAAGACTGTTGAAGTTGTTAGATTTATGTAAGGTTTAGTTTAGAACTCTGTGGCAGGCAGGTCACTGTGCCAGACAGCAAAACGTTTAACGACGGTGATGATCGAATCTGAAGTGTCTTCTGCTTTCTCTGACGAGCCTCCCCCACAGCGGCTGTCGAACGCCGACAGAGAGCAAAGCACCAGACAGAGCATAAGCAAAGCAAACAAAACAGTAATAAAGAGAGACGTTACTTTTAAGAGATGTTACATTTAAGAGATGTTACATATGGTCTCTTTGCTCATTGTGCTGCCATGGGCCGGCGCTTAGCCGAACATACTCCCCCCGTTGAAGAGCACGGATCTTTAACGTCCTTATTTTGCAGCATTGTTGTTGTCTTCAGCACCGTCTTCAGTACCGCTACTCCGGACTTTATTTCTGACCCTATGCTGGGTCGAGCGAGGGGCCACTTCAGATGAGCTACCTGAAAATAGAGAAGCAAAAAGTGGAGCTGCCTTGAGAGACGGAGAAACCTCTCCTGCAACTATCCATCCCAGTTTGGTCTCCTGAAGACGTGGCAGTCCAGTTCCCAACTTGATATTGCCAGGGCATAGAAGCTCGAAGAACAGAGCCGCTCCAATCAGAATATCAACTGGCTGGGGCTGGTGAAACTTCTGATCCGCCAGAGGTATGTTGGAGGGCATGTTCCAGCGATTAATGTCGTGGATACCGTTGGGTTGGTTACCCGTAATGGTTGGAGCAATAAGTGCCGTAATGGTCGCGGCATAGTTGGACGCGTATGATTCCAGTTGGATATCGACGCAGCATCCTTCGGATATGGCACACGAATCGCCTAGACCAGAAACGGAAACTTCCGACTCTTTCTTCTGTAGCTGCAACTGTTGAGCCAGACGAGAAGTGACGAAATGCACCTGCGATCCAGAATCGAGCAGGGCACGGCAAGGAATCAACATCCCGGAGCGACTCCTTACGCTGATTATGGCAGTGGGCAAAATCACAGCGTCCCGTCGATGACTCTGGGCCAAGAGCGACGTGGCTGACGATGTTACGGCATGTTCAGCGACAGAGGGTATCGCGGGAATTCGTAGAGTCGATGTTGATTTGACGAGTTGAGGCAGAATGGCTTGAGAAGTGTAGGACGAAGACTCGAAATGAAGTAGTGTGTGATGCTTAGCACCACATACTCGGCAGGATCGTGACCGACATTCACCTTGCTGATGGCCTGATCGGAGGCAGTTGGTGCATAGGGATAGCTTATTAGCTTCCTGGAGCCGAAGTCGAGGAGAAAGGTTGCTGAATTGAGAACATCGATATATCGAATGTCCGGTGTCGCCGCAGAGCGCGCAGGCAATCGGCTTGAAGGTAGTTGCAACTAGGCAGTGTTTCCGATTGCTATTAGTGTACATTTCCTTAGCGTGCTCCTGAGTCTCCAACCTCTGGCATCTCTGCTCCAGAAAAGCGGTAAATTGCTGGCTTGTGGGTATGCTATCCATTGACGAGCATTCCTCCCACTTGGCTTGTGTGGCGCTGTCCACTTTCTGTAGCAGGATATGTATCAGAATGCAGTCAGCTATCTGGTCCTTTGTCCCCATACTCTGCAAGGCCCGCAGATTGGCATTTACAGTATCTGACAATGACCGGAGCTGGGACACAGACGAGGTCTCAATACGCTGCACACCCAAAATGTCGGTGACATGTGCCTGAAATATTAAACGCTTGTTATTGAATCGTTTATTAAGAAGGTCTAGGGCGATGGGATAGCTGGCGTGGCTGAATTCTAGCGAAGAGATTGTGTCTAGAGCAGGTCCTTTCAGGCAGGATCGTAGGTGCTGCAGCTTCTCCACATTCGTTAGGTCAGAATCCTTGTCAATTATGGAGGCAAACATGCCCCAAAACGCAGCATATTTCGCGTAGCCCCCGCTGAATTCGGGAAGCTTTAATTCCGGCAGGCGAGGCCGACTCTGCACTATGACTGTAGCTGGGGCCTCTCCAACATGATCCGTCCGCATTGTTGAGCATGGGAGCATTGTGGGCTGCCGCTTGTTCAACTCGCGCTTCATACGAATTTCCAGCATGACCACGCATTCGTCAAACTCCTCCCTCAAGGGACTGCCAATCTCATCGAGATCAATCCTCTCCAGGGCATTATGGTGCTCGTTGAACGAAGCGACCAGATCCGCTAGCAACTTTAGTCGCACATTTAACTCCTCCTCACTGAGTTCCCCAATCCTCTCCTTGCCGACGGCAGTTTCCATTTTCTGTGCTGCTCCTACCATGGATTGCACCTTGCGCTTGTTGAATGCAGCTTCCGAATCGACGAACAAAGGTGAGGGGGAGAGATTGAAGGGGTGCTATTAGAAGCCATCGTGTATGCTCAGTAGAAAGCTGGGTTTAGAGTCACTGAGCGAGTGTAGAGGTTAACAGCCGGTGAATAACCTCGAGCAGTTTTACATGAACTGTACAATCGATCGCAGCGCTCAAAACACACGGTCTTGCAGTTTTACAGATCAGCAGCGTGAGCTAACAGTTTGAAACGCACTAAACTTGTGCATCCGACAACAACAAAGGCATGCACACTGAGAGCACGAAACCGAAACGAAACAGCAGCAAGCAAGCAGAC